ACTGCATGGTAGAAATTATTTTTCAGTTGGTTCACTTTGGTCCCCAAACTTTATTTCATTTACTGTTTGTCTTTGCCTCCTTCTCCTTTTTCTTCAAACATTCCATGATATCACAACATATTATTTAGCTCAATTCCATGCTTGATTTACCATTCAATATCATCTTCTGAATAATTGCATTTTGTTCCCCAAAGTTTCATTTTCTTTCACTTTTGTCCATTTTCACCGATTTTTTCCAAATTACGCCATATCCACATGATTATCACCTAAATCAAAATATAAACGTAATGAATATATTTTGGTTCTAATTAATCATATGAGCACATAAAATAAGGAATGAAAAATATGCATTTTACATTCCTATCACCGTATCATATGTGACTTTTAGAGATATTATTCTCTACAGGTTGGGATGCTTTTACTGCAGAAGAGATCTATGGTGTTTTACTATCTAAAGGGAAGATGATGAATCTTGTTGGAGTATCTAAGAGTCAGGCTGAATGCTTGGTTATTCGTGGGAGAAATCAACAGAAATATGAAGGACAAATTGAAATCCAGACATGCAAAGAAGACATGTCACTTTTATAAGAAGAAGGGACATATTAGAGCTAATTGTAATGCTTTGAAAAATAGAAATAAGGGTGCTAGTGTTACAGATAATGCTATTAACATAGCGGATGCTAATGTTGTGGAAGATAGGTAAAGTGAATGAGTACTTTTTGTGATTTCTAATATGGGTTCCAAACCTTTTGAGTAATGAGTTCTTGACTCGGCATGTACTTTCCATATACGTCCTAACAGGGACTGGTTTACAACATATGAAGGAGTTTCGAGAGGTGTAGTGATTATGGGAAACAACGTGCCTTACAAAATTGTTAGAGTTGGTACAGTCAGGATCATAATGTTCGATGGGACTATTAGAACACTTACAGGTGTAAGGCATGTTTCAGAATTGAAGTAGAATCTCATATCTTTAAGTGCACTTAACTTAAAAGATTATAGAAGGTAGAGTTTTGAAGGTGAGTCGGGGTGCTCTTGTTGTTATGAAAGGACATAAAAGCTCTACAAAGTTATACATTTTGCAGGGTTCCACAGTAATAGGAGATGCAGTAGTTTCTACTTCTTTTTTGACAGATAAAGAAATTACAAAACATTGGCATATGCTGCTCGGGCATATGAGTGAGCATGGTATGACATAGTTGAGTAAGAAGGGGCTTCTTGATGGGTAGAAGACTAGTAAGATAAATATTTTTGAGCATTGTGCTTTTGAGAAACAGAAAATAGTCAGATTTACTAAAGGAAGACACAATACGAAGGGAACACTTGAGTATATCCATTCAGATTTTGTGGACCGGCCAGGGTACCTTCAAAAGGAGGTGCTTATTACTTGTTAATAGTGTTTGATGACTTATCTAGAAAAGTTGGGATATTTTTCTTAAAGCAGAAGAGTGATGTGTTTTGGACCTTCAAGGAGTGGAAACCATTGATAGAAAAGAAGTCTGAAAACAGGTTAAATGTCTGCGCACAAATAATGGGTTGGAGTTTTGTTTAAATGAATTCAATCATTTCTGAAGGCATCTTGAGACACTTGACAGTGTCTTGAACTTCTCAATAGAATAGTGTGGTAGAATGGATAAATAGAACTTTGATGGAAAATGTTCGTTGAATGCTTTCAAATTCTAGGTTGCGTAAGACTTTTTGTACTGAACTGCTACTACAATTTATTTTTTGATTAATCTTTCACCCAGTTGCCATTAAAAAATGATACTAGAAGAGGTATGGTTTGGTAAACCTTCCTGTAATTCTGATTTGAAGATTTTTGGCCACTTATACTCATGTAGATAATGGGAAGTTAGAGTCTAGGTCT